TGTACGGGGTTGTATTTTTTTTACCGGGGGGAGGGGTAGAAGTGTATTAGGCTACATTCACACCTTTATTTTAGGTGGAATTAGGGATTTCTGCGTCAGGAACTTGCGTTTCCTGCAGCTGAAATCCCTAAATTGGCGTTTACAAGTGGCAGCTGTCACCTAAGTTAATGATCAGGTGAAAGCAGTTGCATGTAAACGCCTGCACACCGCATGTAATGATACGTGATATGTTTACATTCAGTTAGGAATCAATCACTCTCGCTGGACGCAATGATTGTGCATCCAGGGAGAGTGTTTTCTAACCAAATGTAATCATATCACGTGTCATTACATGTGGTGTGAAGGCGTTTACATGGAGCTGCTGTCACCTGATCATTAACTTGAATGGGTGATAGCTACCGCGTGTAAACACCAGATTAGGGATTTCTGCTGCAGTAAAACACAAGTTTCTGATGCAGGAATCCCTAATCACACCTAAACCTACAAATATGAATGGGGCCTTATTGTGTGTGTATATTGGTGTCTGTAGTGCCATACTGGATACAGTTAAATTTTATTTTATAGTATGAAATTTGCCAAGCGGCCCCCATAAGAGAAGAAAATTTGTCGAGTGGCCCCAGAGACGGAAGAGGCAGGGGGTGAAGATGGAGGAGGCAGGGGGCAGAGACACCGACGTAGGAGGCGTCGCGAGAGCTTCAGTTGGGCAGCGAGGATGATAAGGAGGCCGTGTTGGACACCGAGGATGAGGAGGCCGTCCAGTCGGGCGCCGAGGACAAGGAGGCCGTGTTCCAAAGAGGTCAGGCCGAGCAATGATCATCTAACTAATTTCTTCCACCACTCTTGACGTCATATCCTCAAGCTATTTCTTGAACCCCTCCCTTCCTCATCTCCTCCTCACCAGCCCATCTAGCCATAAGCCCTTTATCTACCGCAGATAAGAGTAAAGGTGGCCATACACTGTACAACCATCGCAAGACCTTAGTCTTGCGATGGTTGTAAAGTGATTTTAAAAACGTACCATCTGCACATCTTGGGCAGGCAGATCGTACTCTCGATCATTGCAAGCCCTTCCCCCTGAGGGGCGGGCTTCCGATGACCGCAATGCTGAACGGGCAGTGTGCGCGTGCGCAAACCGGCCCGTTCGGCATTTGTCTCCCGAGCACTGTTCAAACAAGCCGAAAATCGGACGATTCTCGGCTGGTTTTCTAGCATGCTGCTTAGACAAAAGACGTGCGACCGTACAGTAGAAACGGTCGCATGTCTTCGTTCACACTGCTCGATTCTCGTACGATCGCGGGATTTCCCGCGATTCTTGTACGAGAATCGAGCAGTGTATGGGCACCTTTACTTGGATTCTAGTGCACTCTACAGCACTCTAATTATTGTAGCTTGAGAGCATTCAGCTCACTCAGCCGTCAAACATACAGCCCGGATACGGCTTGCGTGCCATCCATCAAACCCTTTATGAAGTGCAAACTTTAATCTGAACACTATTCAGTCTATGGGGGGCTATTCTTGAAAACAATTTTCAAATAAAGAGCATGAATTCTGCCAAGAGCATCCTATACCAATGAAAATAAAAGATAAGAAATACCATACCAAATACCAAGAAATACCAGTGGGCAGAGGGTCCTTCCTTTTATGCAACTTTGAGGGTGATATTGGAAAAATGCTAATCCTTTAAATTACATGCTTGGGAGATGCTGTTTGCGTGCTTTGTGCGGTGTTACGGAACAGTGTAGTTCACATTCACATCAAAAACACAACCCTGCATTTCCTGAACCCCCTTCCATTTACACATCCCCAAATATTTCTAAAAGCTTCA